AGAAGGAGAAGGAGGAGGAGAAGGAGGAGGGGAGGAGGAGGAGGCCATCAAAATCGTAACAAATGAGAAGCAAGCTCTCCTTTCAGAACGGAGGACCAATCAAAGCAGAGCAAGGCGGAGGCGAGTAGAGGAGGAGAGAGATGACGAGAGGAGGCAGGGCGTATATCACACCTGCCGACGTTGATGGCAGTTTGTTGGACGGGGAAGGAGAAGGTGAAGCCAAGAGGAACGCGAGGAGAGTCTTTGCCGACGGCCTCAGGAACCATCTGTTTGACTTTCTCTGCGAAGAAGGAAAACAGCTCTTTGCCGGGGGCATACATCATATTCTCTGCGATCCTGCGGTAATGGGGATGAGAGGAGAGGGATGGAGATTGTGGAGAAGGGAAGAAGAGGCGGATGAGGTGGTGATGGTTTGTGAGGGGATGGTGGTGGTGAGGCAGCAGCTGATGATGACCGATGATGGTGGTGGTGATGGTGGTAATGATGATAGATCGGGAGGAAGAGAACAAAGAAACATGAACAGATCAAGGAGAGGAGAGTAAAGAACAAACGATCTCAGTTTTAGATGCACATGTCACATCAGCTTTCGCATTTCGCATCGACATATCTGCAGCGACACAATGGTTGTAAGAGGAGCAGCTCTACCTGTGTTTCGACTGCGTCACGTCTACCTTTCCCTGTCCTTGCAGATTGACCTGTGCGGGAAGCAAATGAACTTCATTGCAAGCAGAACTGGCGAGGGTAACGTTGCACCAAGAGATGAAGAGGAGACAAGGAAGGGAGGGAAGGGAAGTGGTATCGTGAGGAAGAGGAGAGGCGAGAGGAAGACAAGGGAAAGATGCGGGAAAGGCGCAAGAGAACAAGAAAAGAGCAAGAAAAGGACAAGAAATGGAGCAAGAAGAAAAGGTTGACGAGGAGAGCGGGGGGAGGGGAGGGGGGGGGGGGGGACAAGCAGCAGGAGGAGAAGGAGGACAAGTGGAACATGAAGTAAAGTGTAGACGAGAGGACAGAAATTTGCAATCCCCCACCTTCAGTACTCGAAAATTGGTTCCTCCCAAGTCAAGAGCGAGGAAAGAGCCCTTCTCCCTGCCCCATACGTCTCATTCTCTGACCCCTCCACCTTCCTCTCTTCACCCTCCGCTGGGTAGCTTTCGCAGATGCGTCGGCAGCATTAGCATGGGCGAGTCGCCGTTCTTCTGCAGCCCGGACTTCATCTGCCAAGTCAAGAGCGTCAGGAAGGGTGAGGAGTGGAGGGAGGAGCAGGAGGAAGCAGAACGAGAGGAGGTAGGGGAGGGAGCAAGAGGAAGGGACATGAGGAGGGAACAGCACGAGGGAGCAGCATGATGGAGCATGAGGAGGGGAGGGGGCAGGAGGAGGGGAGGGGGCAGCAGCAGGGGAGGGGGCAGGAGGAGGTCACTTGGTGGATCATCTCGTCCTTGATCTTGACAAGCTTCTCCCTGCAGCTCAAATTCAGCTGGTCGCGCGGGAGACGTGAAACTAGAGCGATTACGAGTCGACCGAGAACTGCTTCTCCACATTCTCCATGGCTGCCTTGACAGCCGGGTCCAGCTGTTTGCTGCCAGCAGGTCAAGCCTTGCAGCCGTAGCAGGGGCCAGGCGCAGCACGGTATACCGGTTGGCGAGAGCGCTTAGGAGCCCTCCAATGATGGGTATTCCACATTCTGCAAGAAACAAGCACGGCATATGTCAGGAAGTGTCCTCCTGATCTCTTCCTTCTGTTCACCTGCTCTCTCGACCATGTTGAGCGCAAACAAGACACAAAGGATCAGACGCATCGTCCTCATCTTCAGCGGTGGTTCCCAGCCTGCGAAGCTCCTGGGTTACCGTCCCACAACCATCAAGAATGGATCAAGTTTCATTTGAGACGATCGAATTCAGGATCGACAAGCATTGAAGACAACCATGACCAGATAGGGCGGGGGTTGGGGATGGGTGGGGGATGTCCATAGGACAAGGAGAGGAAATAGAGGAAATATCAGGTATGTATGAAGCTTGTTGCACCGAAGACAACAGGGCAATTGAAATAGATTCGGTGAGATTCCACATGCAATATCATTATCCTAGCTAACCGATTGCGATACAACATCTCTTACGCGGGTTTTGAAATCAGAGACGAGAGAGAAACGATCGCCAGGGAAAGGTAACGAACTAGGACAGGCATGGGCACGATAGCAAGGGATCAGAGATGGCCTGATATGCCGCAGTGAAGTAAACAGTGTAAAATGAGAAGGCGTTTGAATAGGACATGTGCAAACGCATGAGGGAGTATCTTCAAAGCATTCGTCAGTGGTGGATACAAATGCCAACACTAATCAAACTTGTATCTCTGATCAATATCTCGCACATTGCTCCTGTCTCTGCTGTTGCATCATGCACTTTCATCATGTTAGGTATCATGTCAGATCATAGTCTTCGCTCGTTCCTCCCGCATTCTCCTCCTCCCCTTGCTCATGGGCGCGGATCACGGCAATATGTCCATGGGGCGCCTACTCTGACAAGTGAGGGGACAGGGATCGCTGGGGTGGGGGGTATGTTGTACCGGTCCATTATGACCCGATTCGATATATGAAGGAGGGGTACTAGAAGACACTCTGAGAGCCCACACTAGGTACCGATGCCGGAGGGTGGGCATTTGGTCTGTGGGGTAGGGGTACTTGTTTTTTCCAGAGACACCCGTACTTTTCAGTCGAAAAATCATGGTACATATGTGCAAGGGTGGGTGATGGAGAGAGTTTGGGGGGATTATAGGGGTGTAAGATGTTTAGGAACGACTTCATTCCTAGGACAACGCTAGGACAAAGCTACTCTAACTACCCTACAGCCACGACCCGATCGCAACACATGCAACTACCCTACCTTACTAGTGTCATATCACCCCTAGTTTAGAGCATTCAGATACCCCCACCCCTTTTAAGGCGGCCCGATACCATTCAATTACTGATCCCCCGATAGTGAGGCGGGTTTGGATGATTTACCACCTGGTACCACCAGACCCCTCAAAGTTGCCTGTAGGTGGGGGGTGCCAAAGTCACCAGCCTGCTGGGAATCATCAATTAGTCATCCAAGTTCCGGGCCCTACTGTTTCCAGGCTGAGCCTCGGAGGTCAGCCGGCGGGCCAGCACTGCCTCGGTGGACCGCAAGCGGCCTGAATGATCGCCGCCATGGTCAAGGCTGCTTCAACGAGCAGACTCGCCGATTTCACTGTCACAGAATGAAATCGTATCCTAGTACGGTATTTGGGCTGGGAGCCTCCGCCCCAGCGGCCATCTTCCTTGCTGCTTGCTTCCGGCGCGTCCTTCCGAAGTTCATGGCAATCATATTCCTCATCGATCTGCTTCCTGTTTCTAGCAGCAGCGCCAACACCGACAACCATAACACGAACTACAACAAGCTGTCCGGAGTCACATGCAGCGACTGGAATTGCTATGCTCTTGCAGCAACAGTGACATTCATATGTGCCTCAAACGTTGCTGCAAACCATCTTGATGACCGCATGTAACATTGCCCCAAGGCTGTTTCACCCCGACCTGTTCGGTGAAGGGCTTAGGAATGCGTTAGTTGGCAATCTGCAGACGCTATCAGTTGTCCTGGCCCTGTTCCTGTCCTTGTTGTTTGCCATGGCGACCAGTGGACCTCCTCTTCATAGCGACGCCACAGCCATCTTCCCTCAACTTTACTTCTGCTTCGTCTTCAACGGGATCGGTATCTCTTTCTACGGTCTTGCATGCACAATCATCCCCTTGATCTTCCTCCAAATCCTTGACGATGTCCAAACTGCAGAATACCTGAGGCTCAATGGTCTTGGAGCTGTTCTGACTTGTATCACTGTTGTCATCTGTATCAACCTTGGATTTGCGTTGATCGTATTCGGCATAGCCTTGTTCGGCAAGCCCATGGGGTTTGCATGCGCCACAAACATCGTAATCCTATTCATCGGAATTTACAACAAAATCAGACGGCACGCATCATGGAAGGCTCCAGTATCAGCAGAGAAAGCCAAGAGTATTGCCAAGAGTATCCAAGTGAATGGCTACGAGCAGCGACAATGTGAGGCCTCCAGTTTGGCTGCTGATGAGTCGAATCCAACATACCCCTGTGTCTCGATCAAATCAGAAGCTGCGTACGTGATAGAATAGAATGTGGGGAGATGATGTTGTATTCTTGAGAATCATTGATTGTGCTGATTTTATTGGCATAAGAGGAAGAATCCAATCAAGATGTTGATATTGATGATTTTCATGCTCTTTGAATCGCTCCAGGAGCTTGACAATCAATAGGCTACCGTGTTATAACACACGTGTGCACAGTTCATCACTGCTGCTCATGTCGCGCAATCAAGTTCTGTATCTTGACAGGTTTGCTGCTTGGAAATAATCGCAAAGTGGCAGCAAGTGTATATCATCATTGCGAAAGGATTTCCTGTATGTTCGTATTTTCTCCATGGTGACTACAGATGTATGTGGTGTGGGTTGAACGCGTGTCTATGTCCTTGTGATGTGTACACAAATCAATTTTCATTTGAAGTTCTCATTCATGAAAAACAATTTGAAGCTTGGTCAATGGCCATCACAGTGCCTCACATTCATAGTTTTCTCGAGCACATTCAGAAGAATTCCTAAAATCTGTTGGCACCCGCTTCACGAGTCTTCGAGTGAAGAGGCACACGTGTTTGCTCCTGCATGACCTGGTCGTGAATCTGCGCTTCAATCCCTAAGCTGAACCTTGATGACAGAGTTTGCAAGGGCCTGGGCATAGACCATCAGTATGACATGAAATATCGTATGCCCCCATCCCATGAATATTTGCTTATTCAGCTGTGGAACGAAAGAAATTCCACCGATCACGATGCACCCCATTGCATATCCGTAGTTGACAAAATCTCTTCTCCAAAGCATTGGGAATGTGTACATGAGCACGCATACCATTACCGGCATCCAACGTTCAAGTTTGCCATCGTTAGATGTTTGATCAAGGCGCCGCATATCGTTGTCAAGTCTGTCAGAGTATCGATTGAAGGCAGCGCTCATGTGGTAGGTGAATGACACTGGTAGATGCATCAGTGGAGCTGCCCACCAACAAGATCATCAACAATCTGTTTGGCGTTTCCCATGCATTGACTGCGAGCACAAGTGTTGGCAAGACCATAGTAACAGCATTGGCGGCCTCTTGAGAGCATGTCATGGCGTAGGCTACCCGGAAGGGCTCCTCGCATCGACCCTTACCTCCTTCTTCGATCCCGTCCCCATGTCTGCCGCCGCTGTTTTTCCTGCCACCCTCCTCGACGACCTCTCTCCTCCAGCTACCCGGTGGCAGCCGCAGCCTCTGCTTCAACCCCAGCTTCAGTTTGCCGCGCCTGCCTCACGTCCGGCCCGACTCCCGGAGTCCGGGCCGCGGGTCCCGCCGCACACCGGGCCCGGCCCGGGCCGGCCATCTCACTCGGGTGCGGCCGGGGGTCACCCGTTGTTGATTTTAGTACAACAATTATAAGTATTATAATGTGTATGGTGGACGGTTCAGCTTGTACCACCCAAAGCTTAATATATTTGTAAGAGTGTACCTATGTTTAGAAATAAAATTAGGATTTTATTTTGGTTTTAAAAGTACATCCACCTCGGCCCCCAAGGGTGGTGGTGTGTTGACCCTGCTGGTATAGACAAATGAAAAAATTTATTTGAAATTAGTTGTAATGATTTGAAATAAATAAAATAAATATTGGAGAAATTCTTGTTATTTTTCGTAAATTCTACAACTTGAGTGGATCAACGTCTCCTGTACATTTCTCCAAATACAAGTTGGCGTTCTAACATAGATTGATCTAGTCTTGTTTCACGCCAACGTCTTGGGAACATCTCAACAGTGAACTACCACCCCGTATCCACCTTCAAATGGCCGAGAGGGTACTCCCATTATCGAGCTTGAAGTACCCCATATTTCACCATTAAAAGTACGGGTACTCAAGTACCCATCCACTCTCTTGATTCAAACCCCGTTTATTTCGTGAGTGGTACCCTTGTCCAGACAAGTACCCACCCCTTTTACGGTACACCCCCCAATGGAGCACCTGACCCCCCATATACCCAACATCCCTAGTTGTACAGTGAGTACCCCTACCAACTGTCTCCCATGGAAAGACTCATCACCCGTACATAAATCAAGATGACCCCCTTTAAGACTATAAAAGTACCCCCTGTTATATAAGGATTTTTGAGTTCTACTACCCACCCACATCCAAATACCCCTAGCCTCTCAACACCTTGTTTCACCGACCCATGATCGCTGGAAAATACAAGTACCCTACCCTATTTTGATAGGGCCCTTTTGGTGAACACCCCTCCTGTTTGCTACGCTCTTCGAAGCTGGCGGCATGCACGCACCGGAGCGCATGCTGGGTTGAAGGAGCCAGTAGATACCGAAGTCTCTCCCTCCTCCTCCTCCCCTCCTCCTCACTTCCTCTTCGATCTCCTTCTCAATCTCAACCTGCTCCTTGCTCTTCGCTCAGCTCCACTGCAACGACTTCGCCTCTTCGCTGTCAAGGTTTTTGCTCTACTGAGGTGGGTGTGGGCATAAATCTGCCTTCCTTCATTGGATTGGATTCTCTCATATTCTCTCTCTCTCTGGGAAAACAACATCAATATCTAACTTCTCCTTCTCCTCTCGTAGGCTGGACTGTAAGGTTGTCCCCCCTTGTCTTCCCCTGCTTGTCCAAAACAAGTTGCTGCGCCATGCCCACAACCAAAGATTTTAAGCTCGAGGAGCTATCGAAATATTTTCACATGCCTGAGAAGGCTGTGGCCAAGGAGCTGGGTATCTGCCTGACGTCCTTGAAAAAGCTGTGCCGCTCCTACGGCATCACGCGATGGCCGTTCAGAAAGGTGAATCAGAGTGAGAGGCTCAATCCTCGCTAACATCCTCAATAGCTCAAGTCAATTCAGCGCACCCTTGCAAAGGTGCAAGACGAGACTTCGCCTGGTATGGCTTCTCAGATTCAGAATGCTGGTCTAGGCCAGGATGCCGCCAGTAAGGATGCTCCAAAGCCCGTACCAGGTAGTCTTTTGTGCTGGGCATGTGATTGTTCTGACAACAGTGTAAGGGTCACATCCACAACCGATTGAAGGAGAAGGACATGTAAAACAATGAGATGGGTAGACATTCTTCTATTGACTGTTTGCAAAGACGCCTTCATCGAGTGGACGAGGTGGTGTTGTCAAGAAACGAAAAGCGTACCAGGTTATCACTCTGAGCGCGAGAGGTTTCCGATGTTTTAAGGAGGCATCTTGCAGTTGGGGGGCAAGACCCTGATGTTGACCGAAGAAGAGAAGAGCATCTATGAGCTGACAATCGGTAAATCAGGTCTTGTGCCCCCCCCCCAAAAGCATAGGAACGAGCTGACTGGAAATGGGAGCAGGGACCGATTTGAAGGTTTCTCCTGCTGCTGCTGCTGCTGCTGCATCGAGCTCTTCATACAATGTAAGACGCAAGAGATAATTACCGGCGTGTTTACTTTCCTTTCAGCTGGCGAACGTACAATCATCGTCAGACTCAGGTGATTCTGCGCAGCTGGACGTGGCACGATGCTAACCCGTATTTGCTTTAGCAGTCAGCTCCTCCAAAGCAATACCTGCTGCATCCCCTCCTGTTTCTACTACATCAAGTCAGGAGGATAAGGCGTTTGCGTGCAATGCTGTGGGCGCATCTCTCCACATTCGGAACTGGGCGAATCTCTGGACGCAGGTCATGATCGCGTTCGTCACTTTGGTGTTAGCTGACGACTGTTTCAGGAGCACCTGCAGAAACGATTGCTGGAACCTCTTGGCGGCACCTCTCTCTCACTCTCCCCAAACCAACAGATTGCATACCTGAACTTTGAAAATGACAGAACAGCACAGAGAGCAGAATTAATCTGCAGGTACTTGTCAATGTTGATGATGGGACTTGGATTCTGACGATCTTGCTCAGAGCTGCTGCCGCTGCCGCTGAAAAGAACATGAAAGCACAGATTGCTTCTAGATCCTCTAGTCCTGCGCAAAGGGGTTCATACAGTGCGAACCCTTCCAGCGGTCGCCCGAGCATGAGCCCAACGCAAGGTCCGGTTGTGAAGGAGGGAAGTGCGTTGAGCTGACGAAAGTACTTCATAGAAGCAAGCCAAGCGGTCAGGATTGTTCTTCCGACTACTCTCCAGAAACAGTTCGGATCGTCGTCCAGCGCGCAAGTCAAGGTTAATCGCCATCGCTGAACGAGGGCGGGATAACAGCTTAGTCAGGTCGAGGTGCCGATGCCCAAGAATCTCAAAGAGCAGCTCGAGATAGCAAATCAGAAGCAGATCAAACTTGAGATCCCCGTGGTGATGCGCAACATACTCAACCTACTCCCACTGACCTGGTTGCAGGTCTCGTCTGTGATGCCAACGGACCCGGGAAGTAGCTCGGGCCCGATGAGTGGTGGGCACAGTCCGGTCTTCAAGTCGACACCCACGACACCCCCTACCTCCTTCACCAATTATTTGTTTGAGTCGAATTACGACGGAACTTCCTTCGGTTGGATGATATCTATCTCTCCTCTATCCCCTCCTTACGTGGTTTCACCGACTGCTCTATTCCCCGCCACCCTCCTGCTTCTCTACCTTCTCTGCGTCCCTCTTGTGCTGCCTTCTAACTTGCGGTCGTGTCTATTGCAGGATCGATGCTGATGCCTCCCAGCACGAGCTCTGGTCTTCACTTTGACTTCCCTGAGTCAGGATCGAACTATGTGGTACGAGGAGAACGATAGCATTTGTCGAGTTGAACTTTCGGCAGAGCACATCGTGTGTTGAAGTTTCCAGCACCTCAATCATGGGTGGCCCGGACGATATGACGGTATGAAACTCATGATGTTGCTTTCCTCTTCCTCTGCTTCCTCCTCCATCCTCCACCTCCTTCCGCACTTGCTGAAGCTTCATCGTCAGATGGCTCTCATGGCGGGTACCACCATGTCGGGAACACAACTGGGCGACTCTGTAATCCAAATTGCTCCTGCGTTGGCAGCGTCTGACTTCCTGCTGCAGGTTGTGTCAGGCGAGCACCTCTCCCTCGACGACGACTCAGGCTTCATCACGAGAAGTCCGCCATGCAGTCTCAACAGCAGGTGCTCTTCCTGCCCCAGATCCTGACCGTCGTGCTGATGTGCCTGCAGCTGTCCTCGCTCGGATAACCCGCACTCCCTCACTACAAGCGTTTTGAAATCTGACTCCTCCGGTCCGTCTAGCGGCGCCTCTCAGGTATGCTCCTCCTCCACTGCCCTTCCTCCTTCCATTTCCGATGAAGCTTCTTGACTCCCCCCTCCCCTTCTCCCTGACGACCTATCCATGCTTCCTGTTTCCTCCGTCCCTGCCTTGACGAGCGCCGCCAGTCGAACGCGGGAGGCAACAGCCCAACTGCAAGTCCTTCAGGGGAGGGGAAGGGCATTTGAGGGACGAGCAGGGAAGGCTGATGTACATACACGGAGGAGCCTGGCAGGGCATGTAATCATAGTGGGTAGGAGCGTTGGGGCTCCGTTATGGTTGGCTGCGGCTAATTTTGTATATCCTCAAGGAATTGACTCAAGCTAGATGTAATGAATGAGTAACTTAGTTAGTCATGCGCGAGCTGGGCTTTTGCTGGAGGCTGTCGGTAGCTCTCGATGTTGATTGGACAGCTCATGGGTCCTCGATGACCATGAGATCGCTGAGATCGCCGACGCAGAGAGAGCCTGAGACGTGTTAGGAAGGAGGAGGAGGAGGAGGAGGAGGAGGAGGAGGAGGGAAGCGAGGAGATGGTAGAGAAGGAGAGGTACCATGATCAGCTGTCCGCTGCTGCCCAGTTCCTACGAGAGCGAGGGACTGTTGGTGGTGTCAGAGGAGCAGGGGGGAGGGGGAAGAGGATGTGACAAGGACCTTCTCGTTGGCGAGATGGAGGAGGCAGATGAAACAGTAGGAGACGGAGACTTCAGGGTACTTGGAGGTGTCCACGCTGGCAAAGGGAGTAAGGGGAGGAGGAGAGGTGGGGGGGAGGGACCTGGCGATGCTGCTGCTGAACGTCTTGGCGACCCTTTCTTCCTCTTGAAACTTCACCGTAGCAGTGGAGCCTCCTGCAGCATGCGGTGACGAGACAACACGGAGTGGGAGGGAACGGGGGGACGAAAGGAGGAGAGGGAGGGAGGAGGTGTAGGAGGAGGAGTTGAAAGAGACCTCGTTTGTCCTGCAGGTCTTCCCATATGTCTTCCTTGAGAGCTTTGATGTCGATCTTCTTGGCTGTCTTGGCGTATCCGATCTCAATCTTCTCTGCCCTCCTCGGGGCTTGCAGCAGCTTTAGCCTCTCGTCCTCCTCCTGCTGCGCCGGCATGACGTTCCCTTCCGAGCCCAACCCGTCCCACTCCTCCCCGACCGCCTCCATACCCGTCCCATCGTCTGCACTGACGTCAAAAATGGACGCTGGAGAGAAAAGAAGGACGAGGGATGGTGCGAGGAAAGAGAGGGGGAAAGAGAGGATCAGAAGGGGGGACATGAGATGAGAAGGGCAAGGGATGGGAAGAGGAGAGGAGAGGAGAGGAGAGGAGAGAGGAGAGAAGAGAGGAGGGGAGGGGAGGGGAGGGGAGGGGAGAAGAAGAGAGGAGAGGAGTGTAGAGGAGAGGAGAGTAGAGGAGGGGAGAGGAGGAGGAGAGAGGGGCAGACAGGAGGAACTTGGGTCATCACCATCGCAGTCTCCATCCGACATACGGTCTTCCTCCTCCTCCCTCTGGAATCTGCTCGCCCTGAGGGTGAAACGCGTCCTGGGGCGGAGGAAGAGACGCCGCAGGCTGTCGGGCATGTAGCGGTGGTCCTGGGGCAGCGAGTTTGCGGCTCCTCCTGCCCTCTGAGCGGCAGCAAGGGTCGTGCTGGCCTTGCTCTTGGACATGAGCTTCTGGGCATCAGCTGGGAGGGGAGAGCGCAGGTCAAGGAAGAACGTCTCCTTCTTCGAAGGCTTCCGCCCCGCTTCCGCCTCCACCTGGATGTTCTCAGCTCCTGGCCCCCTCATCCTCTCCCGCGCTTCCCACCTCGCTGACTTCGCCCGGCTGCTGGGAGGCTGCTGGGGCCGCCTGCTGCTTCTTGAAGGTCCAGTGGGCGGGCCCGGCCCAGGCCCTCATGGCGTCTCGGTTAAAGTAGCTGCAGCAGGCTCAGCAGCCGCCCAGCTGAAGAAGAGGGGCAGGGGAGGGTGGAGGGAAGGGGCTGGGAGTGTGGGGTGCGAGGGGCTCTTCTCAGCTGGTCTAACCAGTAGTCGTCGTTGTAGTCCAGGAAGGTGTCGAGCTGGTCGAGATCTCCAGTGAAGTTGGAGGCCCTGGAGGAAGAGGAGGAGGAGACGAGGGGAACTCCTGCTCCTCCGTCCGGCATCCCCTCCAAGTCGATCTCTGCGAGCATCTTCGGGGGACGTCAGTGTGCCGAGGGAGGAGGAAGATAAGAGAGAGGGGGGAAAGGTGATGAAGAGACAACGAGGAGTAGGAGGAGAGAAGGAGAGCCTTGAAGTGCGGGACCAAGGAGAGTGCAGAGGAGAGGGAGGAGGGAGGAAGCGAAGAGAGAGGGAGGGAGGGACAGAAAGGAACGACAAGCTCACCTGCTGCTCGAGCGCGATGGCTTCGGTCTCTTCCTCCTCGTCATCGCAGGCGTCGCAGTCACCGTCGAAGTCCGCAGCGGGAGGCTCGTCGACTTGCGCGCGTTGAGCCTCTTGGAGCGAGGGAGGAGGAGGGAGGGCAACCTCGCTGACGGTCTCCTCACTGGACAGCGTTAGGAGGAAGGGAGAGGAAGGAGGAGGGAGAGGAAGGAGGAGGGGAGAGGAAGGAGGTGGGAAGAGAAAGGGGTAGAGAGAGAAAAGGAGACGGGGGAAGGGGAAGGAGAGAAAGGGGGA